CTAGTAGCGTCCTTGTTACTAGTAGTAAGGCACTTGTTCCTAGTAGCTTCTTGTTACTAGTAGCGTCCTTGTTACTACTAGTAAGGCACTTGTTACTAGAAGCGATGCCAGGAGCCTCTAGTAGCGTCCTTGCTCCTAGTAGCGATGCCCTTTGCTCCTAATAGCAAAGGAACCTATTAGCGATGGCCTCCAAGGCTAAAGGTTAAAGATTTAAAGAACGTGCCTTACTAGTAGTAACAAAAAGCTATTATTTACTAGTAAAACAACTCGGGTGCAACAAAGCAACTCGCTGGGGCTGGATGGAGCTGATGGTGCAGCTATCAGGCCTCCTGGGAGTCTCTATATATAGAGAAAGAGACGTACTAGTAGCTTCTTGTTCCTAGTAGCGATGCCAGGAGCCCCTAGTAGCGTCCATGCTCCTAGTAGTAACGCCAGGAGCCCTAGTAGCTCCTTGTTCCTAGTAGAAATGTCCTTGTTACTAGTAGCTTCTCGCTACTCCTTGCAATGGCCTCCAACCTACTTGCGATGGCCTCCACTAGTATAGAGAGAACTTCAGGAAGCCGTTAAAAAATGTTTTAAAAAAAAGACTTGAGGAACCTAATAGCGATGGCCTCCGACCTATAAGAGATATATATATATGCGCAGCTACAAAGAAAACATGAATCTGTCTCGAAAAAAGACATCGCCAATTATTGAAACCCGTGCGGTGTCGTTCAACAGATCATGGAAGCATATAGTAACATCATGGAAGGATCTAGAGGGAAGAAGCTACTAGAAGCTCCTGGCATCGCTACTAGGAGCAATTGCCTTACTACTAGGAGCGAGGACACTACTAGTTCAACAAATCTAGAGGGAGATCGCTTCCACCTCCTAGGACCTTCTAGACCATCTTGCTTCGCCAATTGTTCCCCTCTCGCAGTCCTGAATGCAATGTCATCCTTCGGATAGCACACAAGCCTTGCTTCCAAACCTCCTGTGTCCTTAGGCAAGGCGATTTGTCGAAAGGTATTTGGTGAGAGGAGATGGTCTTGGTTCTTGGCGTGTTGTGCTCGGGGCTCTTCTAATAGCTTCTTGTCTAGTAGCGATGCACTTGTCTATTGCTGTGTATTGTCGTGGTTTTCTTTGGCAAAGGCAACAATGGCAGCATGAAAAGCGGCTAGGCTCATCAGTGACTCACTCAGCAAACCCATCGACGCCAACCTCGAGGCGGTGCCTTTCTTGTGAACGTCGATTCCGGTTTTCTGGATGCAGGATAGCCTAGCTCAAAGTGATGACTTCAAGAGGCCCGCAGGCCACACCGTGAGGGGAAGTTCTGTCACAGCTTTTGCCGAAAGTCACTAGCATTGTCTGTCACATTCTCGTCAGTGGCATTGGCAAATCCAGACTCATTCTCCTTTGGACCCTCCTCTTGCTCTACGGTCCTGCAACACGAAAACAGAATCCCCAATACAAAAACAGTTTCGTGGTGTTTCATTTTGGCGCCTGGTGACCACAGCAAACCAAATCAAAAATGGCACACCCCAGCGCATTTGCTCATGGCGGGGTGAGGCGAAAGCAGGGTGAGGCTCTGTACTTCAGTGCCAAGAACCGCTGGATACACGGGAATGGGGGGCCGGATGCGCTCGTGTTGCCATTGCTTCGTTCTGAAACTCTGTTTCTAATTGAATTCTTGTTACTAGTAGTAAGGCACTTGTTACTAGAAGCGATGCACTTGTTACTAATAGCTTCTTGTTGATCCAAAAAACAGCTGCGAGCAGATGGATCAGCTGAGTCTGTACAACATGCGCTCTGCATGTGCAGGTTGAAGGCCATTGCTATTAGGTTGAAGGCCATTGGTATTAGATTGGAAGCCATTGCCATTGGGTTGGAAGCCATCGCTACTAGGTTGGAGGAAATCGCTATTAGGTTGGAAGGCCACTGCTATCAGCCGTACTAGGTTGGAGGCCACCGCTAATAGGTTGGAAGCCATCGCTATTAGTTTGAAGGCCATGGCTATACTTGTGCTAAATTGGAAGTGTTCGATCAGAGTCTTTCCACCCTAGTAGCGATGATGGCCTCCACCCTACTAGCGATGGCCTCCAATAGGAATGGCCTCCTGCGATGGCCTCCAACCTAATAGCGAATTCTTCAAGTCGTCAGGCTAACATGTGTCAAAACAAAGCTTGATTTTCCAACCCAATTTGCTCCAACATGAAAGCGACAACAGCAACAACAGCGTTCAAAGTTCAAAGCAAAAAGGCGAGCCTGACGCAAAGCCAAGCAGCACTATTCCGTCAACACACAATGACATTGAGGGCCCACAGGTCAGAAGTAAGGGGATCTCATCTTGTCCGTTTGGCATGCACATGCGCAGCATGCTTGTCCATTTGGGAGGCTACATTGTTGGCAGCAGCCTTGGTTGTGGTGATGGAGGCCATCGCTAGCAGGTTGGAGGTCCTCGCTATGAATAACTCAAAATGGTTTTGCGCCAATTGTTTGTAACGCGTTTGTTTGCACCTATTGCTGTTAGGTGATCCTGGCCTCGTTTGTTCATATGATGAAAGCCTAAGGACCTCGTGACACTCGTAGCCCCTGTCAGCTCCTACAGCCGAGGTCCACACAAGCACCTCTTGTGATACTCCAAGTTGCTCAGGTGTCCCATCATACCGAGGTACCCCTTCGCTTCCTTTTTTCCTCACTCATCACACCCTCACTTCAAATCTGACGTGCACCTAGTTGCGTCCTTGCTCCAAGTAGCGAGGCCCTTATTGCTCCTATTAGCGTTCTTGTTACTAGCAGTAAGGCCAGGAGCCCCTAGTAGCGTCCTTGTTAGTGCAACCAGGCAAGCCGCTACCATGAAAGTTGATTCATGTTCTCCAACCCTAGGGGCGGTCTTGGTTCTAGAATGTCGTAGAAACGTGTACCGGCATGGTGCGTTTTGCACATGACAAACAGGTATATACAAATGATGAAACTCTCATATGTGTATATATATATATATACTTTTTATTTATGTGCATATAAACATGTTGACGTCATTGTGTTTGCAATCCATGTCAGCCGATTGATGTGGGCAAAGTATCTAAAATCTTCACCCAAGAGACTGAAATCCGGTACGTTAAGAATTTAAGGCACGCGCTTTCCACAAAAATGATCTTTAAAAATATAACTTGCAGTACTATAGACACTGGTACAGACAATCTTCTGTGATAAATTCAAGTTCAATTCAGTAGATCACATTTTTTGCTCTTCGTGCTTCCTTTGTTCCGTCCTTTTGACAGATAGCCCCGAAATCTCTTCATGTTCCATACTCACCATCTGCATTTTCCCGACCTCAGTGTGAGCTGACGACCTCTGCACACGACCATGGTGCGACTTCCTGGCTCTCCGCACCATCACTGGCACCTCTAAAATCTCCATTCCCAAAGCCTTGCCAAGTCGGAAGCAGCCAACTACCCTAGGAGTCAACAACCAAAGTTATCCTTTCATTCTTTCTTAGGTTGGAGGCCATTGCTATTAGTTTTCTCATTGCCGGTATGAACTGAATGCAATCACAAATTGGTATGCCTGTGGCATTCCCTGGTTCTGCGTTGCTGAAGCCTGGCGCTGGCCTTCAACAGCGCCACTGTTCCATGCACAAAAATATGCTTGTCAAACAGTTGCGAAGTCCCTTGGCACCAAGAAAGAAGAAATATCACCTAGCAAGAAGCTACTAGGGGCTCCTGGCATCGCTACTAGGAGCAAGGTTCGCTACTAGTAACAAAGGGCATCGCTACGAACGGAGCGATCGGACTGCCCTAGTAGATTCCTTTGCTACTAATTTTAATTCTAATTTAATTCTTGTTACTAGTAGTAAGGCCCTTGCTCCTAGTAGTAAGGCCAGGAGCCCCTATTAGCTTCTTGCAGTGATTGCTTTTCACCTCCTCGCCGGTGAGCGTGATCCCCTGCTGCTTCCACGGCTGGCAAAACGCTGTCTCCTTGGCGGCGACGGTGACCTCAGTCTCTCCGCCAGAGTCTCAGCGTCCTTTGCTCCGTTCGTAGCGATGCCCTTTGCTCCTGGTAGCGAACCTTGTTCCTAGTAGCGATGCCAGGAGCCCCTAGTAGCGGCCTTGCTCCTAGTAGTTAGGTCAGGAGCCCCCCCTGTCTTTCCTCCATCTCGCTATCGAACTGCATGTAGGACAGCACAAGCTACATGTCACAGAGAGCAACGTAGCATCTTGCTTTGGATTGCTGAGGCCAACACCTGTCATCCGGACTGTCAAACAATTGCCTGCGTCGCTCTGCAGACATGATGCTCCTCAATCACAGTGAGGATTGAGGACAGCTGCAAGGCAAGCTAACCGCGGCCAACCCTAGCTAGTAGTAACAAGAAGCTATTAGAAACAAGTGCATCGCTTCTAGTAACAAGTGCCTTACTAGTAGTATATAACCATGTTTGCTTACTTTGCCGACGGCGTTTGCTAACCCTATGATTCTCCCAACTTTCTAAGCTGTCCTTGATCCGTCGCCACCACTTTTCCCACCACCTTTGCCACCTGTGGCATTGGAGGGACGGCGTACTCTTGTAGTTGGATACAATGCTAGGACGTCCTTGAGACAACAGAGTGGCATGATGGGTAGATCAAATTGCAAACCCGGTTTGATTCCTCACATGGCTGGAGACTGGATGGATAAGGGGCACGGTTCTTCAGCCTTGCATACCTAGCCCAATTCAACTAAATAGCGATGACCTCCAACCTAATAGTGATGGCCTCCAACCTAATAGGAATGGCCTCCTAGCCCCATTCAACTTCAAACCTATTCTTCTACATGAAGAAACAGTAAATGACATCCGTCGGCGCACCTTTGTCACCCTTGGCAAAGCTGGCACCGCCTCCGCCACCTCCGCCACCTCCGCCTCCACTTCCTCCTTGCACCTGTCGTATGAAATATCGATGGCCCTGGAATGCAAGCAGCGCTAAGCAGAAAATGCGGTCAAACCCGACGGCCCTGAAACTGCGGCCTGGACGTTCTTGGCGCAATTCTTTCCCTGAATGGGTGTACCATTATCTTTGCCAAACTGATCGACAATGGCACACAAGCCAACATAACCTACTAGCAATGGCCCTAACAGCAACTTCACATCACAGTCCTTACGGTCGTCGAACTCAATGTCAAAGCTGACACGGTCTCCCACTTGAAGTGTAAATTCGCCTCCTCGCTGGTAGCTGCCTCGAGCGAACAAAGGCTCCCGCTAGATCCGGGCCAGGGCACATCCAGGAGCCGTACGAGGAAGGGACGAGAAGTGCATAAACCTCAAACGGATAACAAGCGAATACGTCCCCCACCCGACATGGGGGTAGCTATATAGATGGACAAACGTAACTCTGAAGGAACACGTCGTGATGAACGTGTCATGCAGTTTGCTGTATGCGCACTGAGCAAGGACGCTACTAGGAACCAAGGGCATCGCTAGTAGTAACAAGTGCCTTACTAGTAGGAACAAGAAGCTACTAGGAACAAGTGCATAGCTAGTAGTAACAAGTGC